GTGTGCTTGCTCCACGACTGACAGTTTAGAACCAATTCAGGGAATTGAATCTTGTTACAGAAACTATCACAGTTTAGAACCAATACAGGGATTGAATCTTGTTACAGAAACTATCACAGTTTAGAACCAATACAGGGGATCGAATCTTGCTACAGAAAACTCACAGTTTAGAACCAATACAGGGGATCGATTCTTGTTACAGAAAACTATGACAGTTTAGAACCAATACAGGGGATCAAATCTTGTTACAGAAAACTATGACAGTTTAGAACCAATACAGGGGATCAAATCTTGTTACAGAAAACTATCACAGTTTAGAACCAATACAGGGAATCGAATCTTGTTACAGAAAACTATGACAGTTTAGAACCAATACAGGGAATCAAATCTTGTTACAGAAAACTATCACAGTTTAGAACCAATACAGGGGATCAAATCTTGTTACAGAAAACTATGACAGTTTAGAACCAATACAGGGGATCAAATCTTGCTACAGAAAACTATCACAGTTTAGAACTAATACAGGGGATCAAATCTCATTACAGAAAACTTTATCACCTTTTAAAACTAATACATACCTTTACAATAAACTAGTCATTACACCTGTAAATCTCCATATCACCATTTAAAACTAATACAAACCTTTACAATAAACTAGTCACTATATATGAAAACCTCCATATGACCATTTAAAACTAATACAAACCTTTACAATAAACTAGTCATTACACCTGTAAATCTCCATATCACCATTTAAAACTAATACAAACCTTTACAATAAACTAGTCATTACACCTGTAAATCTCCATATCACCATTTAAAACTAATACAAACCTTTACAATAAACTAGTCACTATATATGAAAACCTCCATATGACCATTTAAAACTAATACATACCTTTACAATAAAGTAGTCACTATATACGAAAACCTCCATATTATCCACAAACTTTGACAATAAACCAGCCATTATTCATGAAAACCTTCATATGAACATCAGCAAACCTTTATAGACTGATTTACTAAAGGTTTTCATGAATAATATTCAGTTGGTTTTCAAAATGAAAAGTATTTTGTACTAATGATGTCATCCTGATTTTTATTGTTTGAAATAGCTACTCCAAGTTCCTCATCCATGGTTATTACAGCTGGATCTTGCTCTTCGGTAATCACCAAAGTACCCACGCAGGAACAAGAGTGGATGACCATAAATATTGCTTGTCATTTCATGAAGTTTGCACGAGGCAGCTATGGCTGGCCAATGTTTATGTATTCCAACATTGGTACAGGTTTATGTCAGCTCTGGACAGAAATGAAGTGAGTTTAATTTGTGACATCATCCAAAGCATAGCCCTAATGCAGCACTAATACCTCAGTAAATCTTAGATTGAAATTAACATGAAGATTTTTTAAAGAGTTTTAAATTACATAAAGCCATAATAATACTTTATTATATGAATGAAAGTATTTCATATGGTTAAGATCTCACTACATATTGACATGTCTTCATTGGTAACATTCTCTACATTTCAGTTGCTGCTTGTGTTGTCGAGGACAACCAGACTTCGTTGTAGATGACAACTGTTGCCTGTGCCATGCAGCTGCATTGAAGAATATTACAGGACTAAAAGACAGTGATTTGATATATGTGTCATTTCATAACCGTGTTTATGCTGTTCCATTTTATGTAGCAATAGATCATGCCACATCTTCCATTGTTGTGGCTATTCGAGGAACACTCTCCTTAAGAGATGCTCTAACGGACCTGAATGCTGAGTGTGAATTTCTGTTTCATTCAGAGAACTGTCCTAGTGGTTTTCTATGTCACAGAGGAATATATCGTGCTGCTGTTTTTGTAAGAGATAAGCTTGAAGAAAGCAATGCTTTGAATGATGCTCTAGCTCTATATCAGAATTACTCTCTTGTCATCACGGGCCATAGTTTGGGGGCTGGAACAGCTTCAGTTCTCGCTATTTTGCTGAAACAGAAGTATCCAGGGGTTCGTTGCTTTGCTTTCTCACCTCCAGGTGGACTTCTAAGTCCAGATTTAGCAAAGCAAACAGAAGAGTTTATATTGTCAGTGATGTTAGGGGATGACTTTGTTCCAAGACTGAGTATTCCTGCAATTGAAGAACTGAAAAGTAATCTATTACAGTGCATTTTGGAATGTGATCAGCCCAAGGTATGGTTTTTAATTGTAGAAAAAAGAATATTCCCATTTACAAAATTATAATAATTTTCTTGTTTTCACTTCGATTTCTAGCATATTTGATTGTCTTGTCTTATTCAATGCAAAGCTATAGATTCATTAGTTCAGTTTGAATTAAACATCTTTTAACTTAACTCCTTCTGTGAATTTCCTGAGATAATTCAGATACCCTCCATGTTTCAAAAAATATTTTCCCAAGTAAATTCAGGCAAACCATTTCTCACAAAGTTTTCAATATTTGACGAATTTATTCACACATTATCATGTATTACAATCAGCATTTGCTAGATGGTATTGGAAATGCTCTTTGTGCTGATCTTAATCAGATTTATTCTGAATTATCTACATATATATATATATATAAATTCCTAAACATAATTACCTCTTCTCATACTTATAACTATTACTCGGCTGCCAAGATTTCCTCCTTTGCCTATCTGAGCATTATTCTGATTTTTTTTGTGCTTGCTCCAGTCTTTTATACCCCACTCAATTTGCCCATAGCAATATTTATCTCATGACACTCTCCACCTACATCAATGTGCCCTCTTTGGAGATACTTTGAACACTGTCTCTGTTATCTAGTTGATTTTGGTAATAATAAGAAAGATAATTAAATATTTTGTTCTGATTTACGTTATGAATTCCTGGATTATTATTTCCACTACAGAAGGAATTCAGACTGTCAGTGATCTTATCCATAGTGAGATGGAGACATATATTTGGTTCCATGGTGTTCCGGGGAGCGATCCTCGATATTTTGG